TACTCCAGAGCCTCTAGGTCTGTTATCATTACTACTATAAAAGAACTTATGTGTTTCTTGAAATTTGAAAGCAAATGTATCAGATCCAAATGCAAGTTTTGTTTCACAAATTCAAAGAATATCAATATCCATCTCTTAAATTTTTTTCCAGAACCTTTGTTAATCAAGGATTGTATTAATACCTTTCACATTATATGTTCCTATAGTTATAATATTATTGATAGATGGTTTGATATTGTTATTTTGATAAAGGGTATGACTTTTTGATATTTTGATAGTACTGGATTTTATTATTGAAATGAAGTCATCTAAAGAGCTTGTATTATTTAAGAATTTATTGTTATTTATGTTATTGTTCATTGCACCTGCCATTGGATTTCTAATTTTATGAGAAGAGTTGTATTTCTTTTGAGAGTTCAGTACTTCTTCAGAGAACTGTAGTTGGACTGGTATACTTTATAATCATCGAATTCCTTGTTTACATCTTGGCCAAGAACATTTTTTGGATTGTTGCTCCATTCTATTAATTCTTGTATTCATTTTTTCCAGATTAACTAAGATCTATTGTCAAGGAATAGACCCATTGTGTTCTAAGTCTGAGCTATCTGAACTTCTGAATTCTCAATTAGTCCCTTGATTCCATCTCCTGTTTGAGTTGATGAGTTCATTATTATTACCTGTTAGTCAAACATATTTAGCTCTTTTGTATCTAGATTCTTGCTTTGTTTTGATTGTATTTGTGACTGGTTTGCTCCTGGGCCAAGTGTATAATTTATTTGTATCATTGTTAAATTCATCAGTTTCTTTTCTAGAGTTAGACTTCTATCTTGGTTTTCTATTGTGTCTAATATCTGTTCTCCCTATTCCTCTATTTATTTGTTCAGTATCTGATTATACTAATTCATTATCTAATTCTGAAGTCTTCTTGTGATATTGTCTGTCAGGTAAAAGGTCTTGTTCTTTTTTAAAATGTTCTTTAGCACTCCATATAAGTTTATAGCCATGTATGAAGATATGTTGCTTTAAAGCTTTCTCAAGATCTTGTGAATATACAAAACATATAAAAGTATAACCTTGCCTTCTAAGTGTAAGTGGATTTCTGGGAGTAAATCATGCTTTGGCCTTGATACGTCTAACTACTCAAGTCACCAGACTAATAATAGTATTATGAGTACCATATAGTCTTAGAGATTGAGAGTTGTGCTACTTGATTATTTGATTAATTTCTTCATCATCTGGTTTATGTTGAGTGAAAATAGCTCTAATAGTTTCTTTATTAATATAATTTATCCATTCTTCCTCTAAATTCTTGAACTGTTGATGAGGTATAATGTAGGCTTTTATTTTTCTTTAAGAATGTGTGTGATTATAAATATGAATATTTGTTATATTTCCATATTTTGATAAGGCAGCTTTAATCTCTTAATGTAAGTGATTTCGATCAATATCAACTAGGGTAACTACTAATAAAGACTTTTCATCTTCATTTTTTTGTTGAAGAATCTTCTTGTGTACCACATTCTTAAAGTTCATCCATTTTTCCACCTCTAAGAAAATGATGATAAAGTTTTCTCCTTCTTTTTATTGATTTTTTCTAGGCATCGTAATGCATCTTCTTCTTCCTCGTAGCAGAATGTAGTTCAAGCATTTCCATTAAGAAAGTTCTTCTTGAAGGGTTAAAGATCTTTTGGCAGACTTAGTGCATTCTGAAGGTATTTAATCCTCCCATTTTCAGATTCTTGTGAAAGTCTAGATGTAAGAATTCCCATTTTGTATTTGTTATTTTCTTTAATATGGAAGGGATTAATGCTAGAAGAAGATGATTTATTTCTTGTCTCATAGACAAATTGCTTAGTGATATTATCCCCTTTAATCTTTTCTGTAATCTCCTCTATTTTTAGTTGGTCTTCTATTTCCTTGTCACTTATTTTTATTTCAGTATTACTGGGAATTTCTACTATTATAGTTAATTGAGCATCCATATCATTTCCCAGATCTGTATTATAAGAATTGCTATTTATCGTAGATTGGGCTATGGATATTTTATAAGAGATATATTATGATTGTTTCTTCTGTTCAATTAGATCAAAATATTTATCTTCTAAATACTGTGCTAGAAGATCTTCATCTTTCACTTGTCCTTGAGTTTACAGATATAGGATATGTTACTTAAAAATTGTGGCTTTGACAAAGATAGTCTGATCAACATTTAGAATTTGAGTGATAATACTATCCAGGATTGAGTATCTGTTTGGTTCAGGGGTAGGGTTCTGTATAGTTTCTGGAGTAGCAACTATATTGAAAATAGCTTGTATTGCCCAAAGTTTTTTATGTTGATCAAATTTGTTTAATAGTTAGATTAGTGTATCCATAATATATGCCTCCCTCTTTTTTGTCACTTGTATTATTCTATGTCTTTTCACTGACATGTCTAGATCATGTGATATGGAAAAACTTATTAACTGTTTTGATAGATGATGTAATCTAAAGTTTACATGTCACCAAAATAAGCTATTGTTATTTTGCTGTTGCAGATCTTATTTAGAGATGATTAACTTTGTTTATCAAATCTAAAAATAGATATGATATGAGGGATTGTAAACAAAATACATTTCTTTTGGAGTTTATATTTGTCACATAAACTTGTTGTTATGAAAACAATGATGTAACAGATTTCGCATTATGCATTTTAGATGTAATCAATTGTTATATTATTTTTGAAACTCTATCCTATTGAGCAAAAGAGGCTTGGACATCCTCCTAGGTGTTGTAAACTTTGAACTTAAACTGATTTATTGGCTTGAATTATTGTTTGCAAAACTTTTCTTGATGTTAAGAAAGGTGTTACCCTGCCTTGACCTGGCTGAGAGCTTGTGGAGTTGAGATTAGGCCTCAAAAAGCTTACTGTGAATCAGTGTTCTTGTGTTTTTCTTTTCTCTGTAAAGAATAAAACTTTGTGTAGGAAAGATAGATTTTCTTTAAATCTCCTTGATATTTATTGTCGATTGATTGTATGTAGTATGAAGTTTGCTTGAGAGCAAAGGTTTTTGTATGTAAAAGTGTTTTCTTGTATGTGTAAAGCTGACTTTTCTTGTTTTTCAATAAAATTACCAAAAAAGAAAATTTTTAAGAAAACTGGGGATCAGCGGAAAGAGTTTTTTAAAAAATTAAATTAATATTTTGAACTTGTTATTCAAAATATTATTATATAAATAAAAAAAATATTTTAAATAAATATACAGTATTTAAAATATCTATTGTCCCTAAATTTGACTTAGAGTACCTAATTGAGATTTAGTTTTGTTTAGTTTGAACTAACTTAGTGGATTCCTTATATTTTATAAGTAGTGTAGTCCTTTAACTAATAATGTACAAAAATGAGTTAATTGTCATATAAAAGTCTGTAACTTATTTAGCATTAGATGTTCTTTTAATATCTCAATAAAGACACGTCATGATGGCATGATTGCGGGTTAAAAAAAATATGCGTAAAATTTAATTTAAATAATAAAATTTCGAGTAAATTAATAATTTGCAACTTAGAATTAAACAAAATCTGGTTTATAGCATATTATATAAAAAATTCTTTATGGCAAAAAAATTTCCCATTATTTTCTGGTCCGACTAAAAAAATATTTAAGTTTTATATATTAAATTATATAGAAATTTTATTAAGATGAATTTAACAAAAATTAAACTTTAAGCATTTAAATTTGATTTATTTCTTTATTATTAATTTATTAGTTTGTTTCTACTAAATTCCTGTTTTTTGTGGTAGATCTCATTTATTATAAATTTCATAGTAATAAAATTTAAATATAAACATTAGGCACTCCATACATTTTTGAAACTTGTTCTGGAGACGGGACCGGAACATCACCTATAATAGAAACAGCTCATGTTAACGAACACACACTTCCCGCGATTCATCTAAAAGCTAAAAGACAATAACTTACCATATATATCAGGAATATTGTACATCTTTATTGTATCTTTCTGTTTACTCTTGTTTTCTTTTTCATTCCCTGCTTTTGATGCCATGCTGATAGCCTTTCCATCAGGGATACGAATAAATCGCGGAACTTCAAATGTCGTGTCATTATCCAATATATAATAACCCCGACGTTCAAATTGAATTATATCACCTATATTTCATATTAACTATAAATAAAAAAAGCAATTGTAATATGAGCATCCTTAAATCTGACTGACCTTTTTTGAGTTCCCTCACATTTGAATCAGCGAGAGCATCCGTTAGAAATTCCGATTTTTCAGTCACATAATCCTCAACCTGATCGTTCTCTTCCAATCTACGTTTATTAATCAGATAGTCATAATCAACCAGTACCACCTTCGTTATTTCTGGAGTATCAGCCAACCAGGTTATCTTCTTTTTCGTTTTTTTAAAATCACCTTCTAAATGTAGTTGTAATTCTCCCCTAATAAATTCCGATCCAGAATTATATTTACAAAGAGCTTTGACTATGGCATTTCCCCAGTCCATAAGTGTGATCTTTGTAGGAAAATCGGTTGTGAAAGAATTAAATTCGGGCTTGAAATTCAGCTTGTTTAATATAAAATGAACATTTTTACCTCTTCACCAATTTCAAATGTTTTGGCGTCATCTTGATCGATTAAAATTGATGAAGAAAACCAGGTTTTTTTAATTCCAACATCAGCATTTTTCTTGTGTTTCGGTAAATCCTTGGAATAAGGACTTTCGGGACCACCAAGTATATTAAAACTTACACTAATAAAATTTGATAATTAAAATAAGTTGAGAATCAGTAGAACTAAGCATGAAATATATTTCACATACAGGCTCTTTCGGAGTATGGAGGTATGTCTTGGGGCCACAGGATCAATAACTGACTTGTTTAGTGCCCATAATTTATCCCATTCAAGCATTACAGTGTTTTGGGAAGCACCCTGTGTAAGAATGTACTGCCTCAAAGCCTCAATGGTCATACCGCGCCTGCGAATACCTAATGTGATCGACTTGAGGGATGAGCATATAAAAATTTGCAATTAAATAAAAAATGTTTCATATAATTACCACGAACGGTAGGGAACCTCGGATCATCCCATCCACTCACAAGACCTTGATTTACAAACCATTGCAACTTTCGTTTGGACAGCAAGGTGTATACAAAATTCATCCGACTATTTAAAAGAATAACAATTATTAGTTGATATATTATAAATTGAGGAGGAAGTAAAGATTAGAGTGATTGCAACCTGAAATCCCATATGTGAACTTTTCTCAGATCCAATGCATTAAGCATCCATTCATATTGGGCGTTACGATCTCGATACTCATTAGTTCTCAAAGCGTGAGTTACACCCTCCAGAGAGTCGACAATTGGACATGCAAAATCATATGTCGGATAAATCTTCCACTTATTCCTGCAATCACGTAAAATAATATTTATTTAAATCTTGAAATGTAATAAGAATTATCGAACACGATATGTACCCTGTGCGGTGATGGGGCAGAAGATTACATCTATAAATTACAGGGTCACGTAAAGCTTTGTTGGGATTCTTCATATCGATTTTAGCACGCACGCAACAACTTAAGCCCTAAAAATAAATTTTTATTTAGAAATAAATTAGACCACGCAGCTAATATTTACATTCACTCACGAATTCAGTGCCTTTTGCCATCTCATCAAATCTCCGAAGATTTTCTTCGGTCGATAAATCACGGCATTTGGAAGCAATACCTTCCATCCTTTGTTCACGCATCTAAACATAATAATAATAATAATAAATTAAAGGCGGAATTTTTATAATTTGCAGTTTTACAAAAATCTGGAAACATGACCGCTCAAAAAAATACCGTGTTAACGTCTGTATCATCCACGTATGCTAGCCCTTTTTTGATAATCTTAACAGCATACTGGTAGAGTTCTTCAAAGTGATCCGAGGTATAAGTCACCAAATCCGGCCGTATGCCTAGGAGGGCCAAATCCTCCTTGATCGACTCTTCAAACTCTTCCTTTAATATAAGTTTGGTTATTTAGTATGTTCTTTCAAGAATGGAAAAATTTATAATTTTTAATGAGGAGCTAACCTTCTCTTTACTAGGGTTAGTATCGTCAAATCTGACAATCAATTTTCCCTTATACTCTCTAGCAAAATATTCGTTTAACATTGCCGCTTTAGCATGACCAATATGAAGATATCCGCTAGGCTCAGGAGGAAATCTAGTCACAACCTTTCCAATCTCAGCATCAGTAAGACCAATGTTCATATTTGGTTGTTCTTTACGAGGCTTTACATAAGAAAATAAAATAATGAGCACAAGGACGTTAAGATGCATTCATAGATATATAAGCTTACTTTTGACGCATCAGCTGATTTCGACACCCATTTAAGACTTTCCTGAACAAAGCTCAAAGAACTTATGTAGTTGTACCATCGAGTCAGGTATACTCCAACATCTTTTCCGGTTTTAAGTTGACGATTAAAAATCGGTGAGTCTTTAATATGTAAAAAAAATAAAAAGGAAAGAAAAGAAACATTAACAAGGAGGAAAAATCTATTAGTACAGGAATTTGAAGTTTGACCTTATCACTATATATAACTCGCATACTTTTCAGAACTCCCCACAGAATAATGTCGGCTAAAGTAAGTTTATAACCGACAAAGAAGGTTCTCAAAGTGAGATGATGATTAATCTCTCCCCACGCCGTTTCGATGACTTTAAAATCAGAAGATTCCAAGTTAACCGAGGCAAAGTCAATCCATTGGTCTATCTTTTAAAATTTTTAAAAAATAGTACCAATTAAAATCATGATCAATTCTTAGATGACAATTGAATTAATGTTATTACCAAAGTAGCCGATATTGCATCAGAACCATATAAATCTAGATCTCGATAAGCTCTTGCCATGTAACGAGCAACGTTGGCTGTTCCAATAATTTTTTCGCTAAAAAGAAATAAAATTACATGATTTTATCAAAAAGATCAAATTATGTAAACGAAAATAAAAAACAATCATACTTGTTCACTTTTAATTCGACATTAGATTTTTCATTATTACTAGGGTTGTTCCACTCGATGGTGATTTTCTGTGTCTCATCAGATCGACCATTTATATAATGTGCCAACGCAACATTGGCTTGAAGGTTAAAAAAAATTCAATATAATTGATTGTTCCGACGTTATACATGAAGAATCGATTTCATTTTTTGATATTGCTCCACATACCATAAGAGACTGAAGTCCCTTGTTTATAAAAAATTACTGCGACCATGTTTCTTTAGTACTTTGTTATGGATAACTATGAAAACTCACTTAATTCATGAAAATTTTAAAATCTTAATTTTTTCAAAAAAAAATATATATATATATATATATTTATACTGACTCGAGGCAGTGCTTTTGATGTTGCACCATACTGCGCCCCGCAGAATTATGACTGGCTATGACTAACATTTGCTATGACACGAAATCACTTAAAAGAAAACCGGTTAAGGGAAAAAATCAGTAATGAGTTCAAGTCATGAATAAAATTTTTGGTAATTCCTTCTCCATAAGGTGGATGTTTTCTTCATAGAATGCATAAAAGCAAAAAAAATATGTAATGCTTACTGTTGGAGAACCTAATGAAAACTTATTGCAAACCAAAATTCTTCGGAGTCGCGACCTTTGAATTTCACGTTCGACACATAGAATAAAGATTTATTCGTTAATTTATTTAATATTTTCCAATTTTATCTTCGTTCTTCTAAAATTAAAAATCATTTCAATTTATTGTGATATACAGAGTGGGACACTCGTTTTTGGAAAAAAATATAAATTGATTTTAAAAAAATTCTAAAAATTAAATAATTAAAATAATAAAACATTTTTTTTTTAATTACCCGCAGTCAGGCTAGATAGTAGTTTATTAATCTTTAAGAAAACAAAGTATATATTCATCAGAGCAGGATGAAAAATACTATAGCTAAACAAACATTTATATAATATGTAACAAACTTGTCTTAAGCATAATAGTCTAAGTTTGGTCTTGAAAATAATATTTCACTTCAATAGAGATTTTGGATAAACATTTTTTTAATTTCTATTATCATTGCCAGCAGTTTATTATTGTTATACATCTTATCAAGTCACTAAATAAGAGGAAAAAAATATGAAAGGAAAATATGTATATATAAAAATGTACAAATACATTATATGAAAATGAAAAAAGAGAGAAAAAAAATAAAAAATAAAATCCAGTTTCTTCAAAAGATTCAATTTTTCAAATCTTGAGATGTTCTTTTTTTTCTAAACTGTATAAAAGATTTAATGTTTAATAATTTCTTCTTTGTCATCTTTCAAACAATGTTTCTTTAATATATATCTTTAAATCCTATACTAATTACTTAAGGTTTTTTCATTAACCTTAAAAGTTTCATCAGCTTGAGTAATAGAAATAGAAAGATTCTACCTAAAAAAAATAATAGCTTAAGAGCATATTACTCAAATCTTGTTAGTCTTATAATCTTTGAAATTAGATAAATTTGATTGAAGAATCAGAAAATTAATCAATTCTTTTTTTTTTTTACTAATAATATTCTTGATACATGTAATATAATTGATAAAAGCTTATTTATATTCTGCTATAAACATGTTTTGGTTTGATCAACTATCTTTAATAAAAATTATATCAATTTTATATTACTTCAAAATTTAGGATCAAATTGAGATAGACAAAGTTTCTTAGAAATTCTAAAAAATGAGTAACTTTAAGAGATTAACAATAATAAATAAAAAAGTTTTCAAAGTTTTAAGCTTTTGTTCATTTATTCATTCATTGCACAAAATTTCTAATTATATTCTTGTTTTAAAAGATAGGTTTTCAATACTTTATTATTGGTTTTTCTTTTTTTCAAAACTTTCTTGCCATAGATAAAAAAGATATTTTTTGGATTTTCTCAATTACTGGAAATCAAGTTTTGTTTGAAAAAAAATATAAACAAGAAAGAAAAGTTATGAAAGATTCTTAAAGTTATTCTTCAAGTTATTTTAGAAAAAGTGATAAAACTTTATTAATATAAAAGTATAAAACTTTTTTAAATATCTTTTTTATGTATTGTAACTAAATTAGCAAAATAACTTTTTTTCTTATATAATAATAATAAAATATTTTTTTAATATTTAAAATTATTAAAAAAGAATACAGTATATAAATTTATAAATTTGAATTTGAAAATTAATAGTTTAAATAATAAAGCTTTAATTTTTCAAATAAAAGTTCTTAATTTAAATTTAATTGCAAGTTTAAATTATAAAAAAATAGAATTTCTTATTACTTATCAATTATAAAGCTAAAATAATTATTTATAAAAATTATATATAAAAAATTCATAATCAATAATATATAATTTTGCTTAGATCTAAAAACTATATTATTTCCTTATTTTGTCAATTAAACTCTTTTCGCTGATCTCCAAATTTTCAGAAAATTTCCTTTTTTGATAATTTTTAAGAAAAAGAGAAACCAGCCAAAAAAAACAAGAGAAATCAAGTGAAACCACCTTTACAACTAAACAACTTACAAAAACAAGTTCAAGAACTCTTTACA